TTGGCAGGGTCAAGAGTAGCACTGACAGCGCCAGCGATGGCAAGGAGAGAGGTGAAAGCAGTGAAAGGATACATTTGGAAGAATAATATGTAATTGAATATATGTACAGGAAAGTTTAGTGATGTTGATAATATTACCAGATTTGAAGACCCTCCTGCTTTTATAACCAACTCCACGAATCCTCATGTTTCAAGGAAATTGAAGTGATGTTTCCGAAACTCGTCAGAGTGGAGAATATTCCATGCTTCTCGAGGTGGAGTTCTCACTCCTTGGATAATTATAGCAGGGATATACGACGCATCATCAGAATGAAACAACAAACAACGTGGTTTTCAAAACTCCGACTGGTGGATATATATTTACGATGTCCGATTGACGATGTCGTTAAATCCATTCTCCAGCCGTAAACTCTAAGTAGTGGGTAAAGATTCTGGAAACCAGGTAACTTGCACAGCCTATCATGTATGGCAAACGTGACAATAGGCATGTAACTAAATAAGGAATGTATTAAAAGGCTATAAACTAAACTAAACTATCTAAAAGAGAATGACCTCCCCCCAGGTAAACCTACAAGTCCTCCACATCTGTAGCCGTATGCGGATGAAACGTCTCAAACTTAAAAATGGCCTTTTTGCTCTCTCCTTTGGGTTCATACAGAATCAGATCAGGACAGTCGTTCCAGTGACCAATGGCACCTGAGTCAGTAAAGTAACCATCTTGTAGTGTCCCTGTAACGTTGAAGTGATAACCGATTTCATGGAGTCGTTGACCAGCACAGCGAAGTGATACGCGGGACCCATGTTGCTGTTCCAGGGCCTCTTGGATATCTGACAGTTGGTACAACATGGAGTACGAAGGAATGATGCCAGCATCGCGCAGCCACTCGTACGTTGGGAGACGCTTGAAAAGTGAAACCGTCTTTTGGAAATAGGGTACGGCTTCTTCGGCTTCTTCGTAGTTACGGCCGTAGCATTCGCGGTTTAGACTGCTGAAGCATGTACCGTGGGCGACCCACTGGTCTTGCCAGAGACCTTCATTATCCCCGTCTGCAGATTCCCAAAGTTTATTCATCTCGTCCACGGTATCTTCAGCACCATCGTGATAAAGAATTTGTGTAATGTTTGTGTATGTGCGGTTGGTATCGCAGTTGTGGGGAATGGAGCCATCGTTATGGATGGGCCAAAGTCCGTGAATGGTCCATGAATCTGGATATTTTAGCAGTGGATCTTTGGGTAATAAGAGTGTAGACTTACCTAGAGATCCAGAAACGGGTCTTGTGTCCCAGACTTGGGTTTGTAAAAGCCTTGCTGGCGAAAGGTAGCAGCAAGCATCGTCAGCAGATGCTTCTCCGTAGCATGAACCCCGACGACTGTTGGCGTAAACATTTGGTGTTCCAGCGAGAGCTACCACAGAAGTGGCTGCTGTAAGAAGCGATAGAATCTGAAATGAACTCATTGTGTATCGTTTTCTGTGTTTGGCTTGTGCTTGTTGAAGCTGTGCTAATTATTCCCACTTCTCGAGTCATCACTGCTTCCTTTATAACTCTTCCATGCATAGCCCCCTATCGTATGAGAATGAGACATTTCATGCAAGAATTACGAGTCAACCGCTTGCTGCTACCAAGCATCATAGAAACAAGGCAAACTGATACAAAACTCAAAAACAGCCAAGACAAGACACGACACTTGCCCAATCAGACTCTACATTTTGGCCAAAACACGTCAGCTACGATCTGAAAGCGTATCTGAGACCAATCAGGCTATGTCTTGGATAGTTGAGAGTTTTCAAACGCCGGCTAACACGATACCGGATGCGGACTATTTTGTGGTAAGAGACAATGGTACTTTTGCCAATCCATACCAACCACTTGTCTTTAAGTTATACGCAGGTCCACAAGTCGTTTTATTCGTTCATCGTTTTTGTTGAGCCTGTCAGTAAGCCGTTTGGTTTCAGGCTTTTTTCCGCCATGTCACTTTGATGACCAACAAACAAGAATTTTCTGCAGTTCAATGACCTGTTTGAGAAGACAAGCCGAACCACTGGAACGCGGAAGCACCCGAAGTACTGCAGGTACAGTAGAAACTGGATGGTTGGACAGGTGATCGGGATCTATTTCATGGTTGAGTGAGATTCCATAGCCACAAAATGGTTAAAACGTTTGTTACTCGTTTGTCATTCCAGAAATCGTGTCAAGTAAAGTACTAAGCTGGGAAATGGAAACTTTCCCATGTTGGATGCTAAGAATAGGATGGTTGGCTTGATGGCCAAGACACTTTGGGTTCTATTGGCGAAAACACCAACTCAGCTGAAACTCTTGAGTCACTCGGGCACGAGTTAGTCTGGATACTGAATTGGAGACTGGGAAACAACCATACGTGCAGTCTAGTTGGCTCATTAGTCTGTTGCAAAGCACTTGTATAGGCTGACATGATTCATTCAAAGGTCATAGTAGATCTTCAACTATTTTACAAGCCAGTCAGCTTGACGGACACAAAGTCAACTGGTTTCCCGGCCATCCGAGCAAAACCTCCGTCATGATTCGATTTTCTGATGATCGGAATGTGATGGTTAAGGTTCAACTGACAGAGGCACGGCAACAGCCACGAGGCATAACGGCGGGAATAATTCCCCAACAAGCCACGGACATATCATGCCTATTCTAGGAGCAGAATGTAGAGATCCTAACTCTTGGAAAATTAAACTCAAAGGCTGGTAAACTTGGCTCTGTCAGGTTTTGCTTTATCTAGGCTATTCTAAGCTCTGCTAATGTTGACTGGAATGTGGGTTGATTGCTGGATCAACCTGGTTTTTGGGGCTGGAGATGATCGTTCTAAATTAAAGAGACTCTTTGACGGTTTGAAATTCTGTACAAAAATGGGAATTGGAGTCTCGTGATGACTTCATCATATTTGGTGTTAGTATATGCCTCGCTTTGAATTGTACCGAAAAGATCAAGGATGACACTCCTGCTCGCATTTGCTCGGACCGAGGTCAGGATCTGCATTGAGTGTAATGAGGGGAAAGAATAAGTCATCAAGAGTAAATTAGCCACTGGGTATTCATCACTTCTTCTACCTCTTGTAACATGTTCGGGCAGTTGTTAAAATGCAATTCCTTAGCATCGTTACAGGTCTCGTGTGCCTCTGTGCATCGTCATTGGCTTTGAAACATGACTCCAAAACGCCCCAGTTTCACAACTCGGCAAACCATCCAGGAGCAGATCCTCATGTAATCTACGACTCTAAAACCGGCCAGTATTTTGCATACTCGACCGAAGGGGCAGACCCAGGTAGTTTGTTCGCCATCTATAGCAGCCCCGACCTGTCGACATGGCACAAACATCCAGGTGGCGTCTTGAAGGCCTGCTACGACGACGACATGAACCGCATCAAGGGTGGTCAGGCCTGCTGGGCGCGTGACTGGTACTGGGCTCCCGAAACTTATTACAATGAGAAAACCGGCTGGTACTTTTTCTTCTTCGCTGGACGCTTACGAGAGGATTTGGCAAAGGATTATTTCCGCTACTCAGACTTTGAAGAACCGTCCAAGATTGGAGTGGCGGTTTCGAAATCACCTACTGGGCCATTCAGGGAAATCAAATCAAAGCCAATTGACTATTATCCCTTTGATCCTGATTATTACGATGTCAATCTAATCATGGATGAGAAGCAAAAGCGTCCTCCGCAAACCCTCAAAGAGGGCAAGACAGCACCCAAGGGTACTTATATCCCCACCATCGACGTCAACATCTTTTTCGACAAGGATGGAAAGGTTTATCTTTATCTCTCTCGAAATGCCTACCGCAACTGGAACTGGGATAAGAAGCTTGGCAAGTATATTGAAGAATCCAACATCATCGTTGTCGAGATGGAGCGAGACTGGTGGGACGACCCCAAAGCGATGACGATGCCTGAAATCATAGCTTCGCAAAAGAATATTCACGCCAAAGATGCACCGAAACTTCTTCAAAACATCACATCCTACAACGGCACTGGTGAGATTGGTTCACCTCCACGCAAGGATGGTTGGAAGACTGTTATTTCCTACGGCGCCGATCCCCAAGACTGGGAGAACTATCACGTTAACGACTACGAAAAGAACAATGGCACCAAGAAAGACCGTCGCTGGGCTGAAGGCAGCACTCTCATCAGAAGACCTGGAAAAAACGGCAAGCCTGTTTACTTGCTCACCTACAGCGCCAACAACTACGAAGCATCTAACTACGGCGTTGGCTTTGCGACGTCCAAGTCTCCATTTGGACCATTCCGAAAATCGGCAAACAATCCCATTCTTTCTCAGAAGCCTGATGCCGAGATTTCAATCTACTCAACTGGTCACGGCAGCATCGTCGCTTCTCCTGCTAAGCACAACAAGAAAGTTGGTGCCCAAGACGTTACTCTTCAAACACCACCGGGCTCGGAGCTTTTCTACGTCCATCATGCACGTAACAGCACGGAGCGTGATAGATCCATCTATACAACTCGCATGACTATTGACGATTCTGCTATGTACTTTGGTTCTAATGATGCCATGAGTATGGATCTATCATCCCTGGATCAGTCATTGCCTAAGAATACGTATCCCATCCATATGGATGCACGGTGCTCTAAGAAGAAGGGTGTGTGCCAGTTTCATGTTAAGGTGGCGTCCAAGCCTGGGGCGTCTTTTGATATTCTTGAGGGAACGAACAGAGTTATTGCTCTGCCTGGGAACAAGGTGGCTACTTCTATCAGGTCTGATAAGCGTACAGGATACTTTGTCATGTCTTTTGGTAGTGCTTCCGTCATGGAGTTGGCTTACCAGCGGTTGAGTGTGGATGGCAGTTGGTCTACAGTTACAAAGAAGAAAGTAGCTTGTAGGTAGTTTCTACGATACTGAATACTGATATCAATACGTTTCATTCCCATGTGGACTCTCCTCGCGTACAGAAGAGAAGCAAAATACGGTGTAACAAGGATCACAACCAGTAAAAAGACATGACAGTCAGACTGGCAAAAGAAGGGCCTGACCGGGGATTGAACCCGGGACCTCTCGCAAACTATAGTCTCTTTATATATAAGACTGAGATGTCACTCCCGAAGCAAGAATCATACCGCTAGACCATCAGGCCAGATCCTAGATCCTTAAGTGAGGTTTCGGCCAAAGGGTGAGCCTTATATTGTCACAAACTCACGAATGTTTGAGACTGGACATTACTTTCAGTCGTAACATAATCAAGCCAGGTATTTCATTCTAGATTCTGCAAGTAAAAGTGGTGAAAGGTTGAGGATTAATTTCTGACTGTTACAGATGTCGAAGAATATCAGCTTGTGATAGGCGGTGAACATATTCATTGGACAAGATACTATATCTCCAAGGCAAGTATATCTAAAATTTAAGGTCTTTATTCTGCAACTACATAAACATCCAAGTGTATTACTACATGCTAGACTGTGATTGTGATTGATGTTGTGACTTAGTTCATTTTGAACAACAGTCTGATAAATTTTATATTAATTTCGAATCCACTTCAGATACAAGAACTTGAATATTGTCTGATATTGGCCTTGATTCAGATACAAATAGCTCCCCATTCTCTTAGTCCTTCTTCTTGCCAATCCTGGGCAAGCATAACCACAAACCCAGCAGCGCAGTCAAAAACGCAAGTATAATGGGCTGAAGTGTCTTGACGCCTTTGGCTTGAGCAATAGCACCCACAGCAAAAGGCAGAACAGCAGCTCCGCTGCCTCCAAAAGCTGCAGCAAAACCAATAGTACTAACATGCAAGTGCTTGGGCAACATCTTAGTAGTAGCAATCACAACAGCAGGGAACAGGGGCCCCAAGAAGAACCCTTGTAGAGCTACCGTTACAGCAGAGACATAAAAACTCGGCACCAGCCAGAAGATCAACTGCATGGCCATGGCAGCAGGCAGATAAAGGGACACGGCAACTTTGACACCAAGACGAGGCGTGACGAAACCGAGGATGGCTCGGCCGACTGCAAGACCTAACCAAAATCCCATCGAGGTCATACCTGCTGGGTAGTTTTCGGCCTTTCGCACACGGATCATGAATTGGACAATCCAGCCACCGACAGAAACTTCGACGCCGACGTAGCAAAGAAGAAATGCGGCGCAAAGCCAAGTCACGCGAGCAAACGGAAGCTTAAAGAGTGCCTCTTTCATGCCTTGGTTATCTTCATTGCTTGCATCCATAGTCTGACGATAGACTTCCGGGCCGTTGGACCAGAAAGCCCACGAACAAGTGACGAGCTCAATAACAGCCAAGCCGATCTAAGTAAAATAGTCAACATTTGAGTTTTATCATTTTAGAGGTGTGCCATGGACCTACCATAACATAGTAAAACGTATACCAAGGAAGATCAGCCTTTGCAATCATGTTTGTAGCAATCAATGGACTAATGACACCACCAATGCCATAGAAAGCGTGGAGGAAGCCAAGAGTCTCATTGGCTTTGTCAAGGTTACCGACCCAGGCATTCCAAGCCGCATCGCTGATGCCGTTGCCAAACCCAGCAAGAGAATATGCAAGAACAAGGACAGGGTACGGCGGGTGAAGTGCGATAATGATGTAAGCGGCTATGTGGCAGAGACCGCAAGTAACGCCAATTCCTCTCTGCCCTATGCGTCTGTGTAACGTGTTATTCAGAACCGCAGCCAGGATGTATCCCACAAAGGGGGAGAGGAAAACCAGGGATACCACAATGTAGCTCAGGTTGTAGTATTTTTCCAACTGTAGAGTTATTAGTATAGTTTAGTAGAGGAGTAGGGTGCACATACGTATGGGATCAAAGCCTGGGATCATGTTAGCCATTGAAACAATAAAACTCTCGGTGCGACTTACACCGTATGCAGCGTCATTGGCGCCCGACGTCAAAAGACTCCAAAAGGAAGCACCGGTTTTGAACACATTCTCAGGGGGATATTTCCAACTCTCAATGACCTCGGGGACATTCTGTGCCGTGACACTTTCCAGGCCATTGCCGCTTCCATCCAAAAACCCACGGTCTGGGTGAGATCCAAGCCTTCGAGATTCCTCAAGATACTCTGAGCCTCTGAGGGATTCTCGAGATGCAGCGACAGGGGGCTCATTGACGGTGCGAGACGTCAGCTCATACGAGCGAATGGTGGCTGTAGAGGATGTAGTCATAGTGGAGATGGTGATATGCTGTGCTGACCCAACCTGACCTGACAGGAGCGCTACCAGGAACAGAACGTTGTATTAACTAGACAGCGAAGTATTGAAGAGAAGAGAAGAAAGAAACTCAGAAATATGGCAGATATTCATATTTAAAAGCTTGGAAATGCAGTGGAACCATGATCTCAGTCCGGTTAATCGTTTAGTAACGAGTGAAGTTGAGAGTATAACCAGAAATGGCATAGATGCACAGGAACCTAGCGGCACGACGGTCCGTTATGGAAGAGCTTCGGTTAGACTTGGCATCATGACATGACACTTTTCCGATCAGTTGTATGCATACGTAACCTGCAGTCAGTCTATGCATGTACATAGATAGCTGAAGAAAACGTAAGCATCCTTTCTCCCTCGCATGTCATCAGCATCAGCAATAGTCATACATCAGCATCGGCATCGGAGTCGGTCTGAGCCAAGCTTTACGACGCGTGGTAATTTAGGTATACATACTAGATAGTATAGCACACCCAACACCTACATTTAGGTAGTGGCACCTAACTAAAGTGGCGGAGGCAGGGGGGAGGCTTAGATCCACCGTCTCTTGATCACACACAGTCAGCAAGCAAGCAATTGCAAGACAAAAAAAGGTTCCCATTACCTAGCCCAACTACCTCAACAGCTAGCCTAGACTGGACTGAGTAGGTAGTCTCTACCCAAAACTCCAAGAGTCTAGACCGCGCCAGTGTCTGGCTATTGGACTGAGTGGCTTTTTGCGTTCCTTCAGCTTCCCTCCACACGCTCCAATCAAGGAAACGCCAGCCCTACAGGAACCGGCGATGCTACCCAGAACCACAATTCAGCCCTGGCGGTGCGATGGCAGAGATGGGTTTAGTGCTGAATGCCACAGTAACAAGGCTCCATGATGCCCATGACCCATGGGTAGGTAATCTCTAAAGGTCAAGGGTCTTTTTTTTTTCATTACTTTTTTTCACTCTTCCTCTTTACCTTCCCTTCCTCCTGTCGCTACCCGACGATCATCTCCATGCGACACGACACTTGATTCCGCAGCTGTCCTCCTCCTCCCCCAATACTATAACTTCAGGGCCCCAGCTCTCTAAGCACAGGGCACTGCGGGGAACTTACGGTACCTACCGAACGGGCCGCTAGGACCTCCATCTCCAGCGTCTATCTATATGTCCATTCATCACGACACCATGGAATTGAGGGATTACTCCCGTCGCGATCCAACATCACCACCCGAGGATTGGGAACCCACAAGCCCTTCCATCGTAAGGAAACCGATAAGCGCCAGCAAACTATCTCCTTCGCCATATACCTCTCCAGATTACGCCACGACCTCCTTCTCCCAGCGCGCAGCTCAGCCATTCCTCCCACGACAAAATACAACCGACACAGCTTACTATGGCGCTTCAACCCCGTTGGGAATATGGGGACCTACAGAACCTCATGCGCCGGGTTCCGGACGACCGCAAGCTTATAGAGAAGATAGCCAAGCTTCACTCTTGATGGGCGGCGGTGGCCCAAGAGATCTTCCTCCGAACATGCCCCCGGCTGGTCACGGTCCTCCCCCGCCGACTCCCCCGCACAATAATGGCTTTTGGGACTGGTGGCATCACAATTGGAAGCCGTCTTGGAGCATGTACATTCTCGTCTTGTCGGGAATTGCTTTTGCTATAGGCCATCATTTCTACTACGATGCCCTTCACAACAAAGTCGCAAACGATCAGCAGGGCAAACTTCGATACGGCGCCCTTCTGGCATTCTTGTCAAAGGCATGTTTTCTCAACGCCGTCGTCCTAGCTTTCCGCCAGAGGGTCTTGATGATGATTCGTCGCAAGATGCTTACGCTTGCAACTCTGGACTCGCTTTTCGCAGCGTCCGAAGACTTGACAGCTTTGCTCAATTGGGAGGCCTGGGTAAATGCAAAGTTCGCCATGGCTCTGACAATATTTATTTGGACGTCGCCTCTGATTGTCATCTTCACATCTTACACCCTTACCGTCAAGCCGCAGAAAAAGCAGGAGATAACGCAGTGCGCAAACATTCGCACCCTGAACTTCGAGCACGAGAGGGAGGTTTACTGGAGAACTCCAGCCAAGGTCGACAATTACTTTGAGACTTCTGCATCCCTCTGGAACACTACCGCAGCTGGCGAATCCATCAACAAAACCGACCCCAACGAGTTTGACTATTACACTGGGGGCAGTCAACAGTTCGAGTCCATTGCCCTTAAGACGGCATACGCGCAGCAAACAATCATGCGACCCAAGGCGCCGAAGGAGATTTGCGGTGCAGGTTGGAATTGCTCTTATACCATCAAGTTCACTGGTCCCGGATACAAATGTACAACCTTGGCTGAGGGAGTCAACGCGGAGGTCAAGAAGCTCGGTAACGCAAAGTGTCCCTTTGACACAAACGACATAGCGCCCATGGGAAACTACACATATTACGCAATGCTCGACCGAGGAGACTATGAGAATCCGCAAATAAAGGAGGCGGAAATCGGCGGAAGACCCAAGCAGAAGCCACCATATCCGAAACACCTAGGTGTCTTCCGGACCGAACCCATCCTATGGTTTGGCTACGCTGATGTTGAGGACAGAGATAAGCCTCAGCCCCCAGAGCCGCGAAAAGGCGACTGGTACAAGGCATACACTCCAATCATATTTGGATGCGAGCACTACCAAACCAAGTACAAAGTTCAATTAAACTACACCGGCGGGGTTCAGTCTCACAATGTGACGAGCCGCAAGTTTGTCAAAAAGTTGATCGACACGACCTTGATAACTGACAAAAAGGATCCCGACAAAAGACTCAAAGATCGAACCGTGGCAGAACCCGAAGAGAATTACGTATACCCTCAGAACATCTCGGACTATCGACTGACGGCTGCGTACCATGCTGTAGGATACCAGCTGCGGGCGATTCTAAATGGTACCACAACGATGCCGCAT